TTGTATTAAGAAGGAATTAAGGGCAGATCAAATCCGGGGGTGGGAGGAATGCTTGCTCTAATTCCTTTCAAAATCTTCTGTCTTCCAGTCTGTTCCCCAAAGAAAGTATTGATTAAAATATACAAGACTCTGACTTTATTTCTTGTTAGTTTATGAAATGTGAAACTCTGCACTGAAACTCAGATGACTGTAATCGGTATAATAATTTCTGAATGGACTGCCGTTTTATGTTTAATTAATACATCTGTACAACTTTTAAGATAAGATTACAGGCCATTTTGTGCATGGAGTTTACATATGGGATCAGTTTGAGTTTCAGAACAGACAGTGAATCTTTCACTGAAGACCATTAGCTGATAGATCACTGTCACATTGATGCGGAGTGTTTCGTTGAGGTAGAATCCTGTCTTTATACGAGAAGGAAGAAATATAAGCACGATCAAGAAGAGTACACCGAGGAGCTACTTAATATGTACCCTTCGATACATCTTAAAAGAGTGATGTGATCAGCTCAGCAGACTCCTACAGTGGCATTAGAGTTTGAATCTCCATTCCTTCAACATGTATATGTTGACTGCAGCTTGGAGCGGTTTTCTTCAGTTATTCCATGCAAATGTCACACTAAACTAATGCCATGATGTTCCCATCCTATTCCTGTTCAATCAAATCTTACTGTCTCATTCCATTCTACATACACTCTCAGATGACACAGCATCGATAAATAGCATGAGAACCAATTTGCCAAAGGCACTCCACTCACTGCAGTAACAGCGCTTTGGGGGTCAAAGTAGGACAAGCTCCACAAGAGAAGCTATAGCAGTCTAGTTCATGCTAAAGGCCACAAGAATGAGCAAACATCACAAATGCATAGGCCCATAGGTGTGCGAGATGTTAAGGTTCCCACATTTTCTAGAAAATCAGCACGCAGATGGCGGTAAGGTTGTCAGCCTTACATACCAGCCGCTCTTTACCACCTACATTCCAAGAATATTACTGGTACTCATTTCTGCTAGAGGCTTGAATCGACCAAAAAAAAAAATAATCCAATGACCTCATCGGGATTCAATCCCATGACCTTCCGGCTTGTAGCTCATTACCTCAACAAACAGCTGTACTGTCATGAAAACTGCTGCCCTCTGGGGTGCCAACCTGATATAATGATACCTATTATAAAATAATCAATTTTCTGGACATTATTCACTATCTTAATTTTCATATGAAACAACACTTCAGAGAGGGGATCTGTTTCCATCCTCATCTACCAAAACCAATCAACAGAGCCAGTCCCTATCTCCACAGATAGAACGCTGCAACTTTCAGATATCATTTATCTATTATAAGAATGAAAATGTTCACGCTTCTAATTCTATGGATAAACTGTATTCAGAAACAATGACTCATTTTAGTTTGGTTCTAAAGTAATACAACACTCAATGTCTGTCTGCTGTATGTTTAGCCCTCATTAAATCACTATAAATACAAAGAACAAATTTCGAGGAGATGCTCCCAGCCACTTGTTACTTTTCCCGATTACCCGACACAAACAATACAAACAGAACGTCTGTGCAGTCTGTAAAGTGAGATAAACTCCAGCCCTGAACCTGTGCAAGTGGAATGTTCTTTAAAATTATCCACCTTTTGTTAATTTATGGAAATGGAAGTGCATATGGCAATCACATAGAAAGTTTGAGCCAATGATCATCATTAGTGATAAACTGTATATAACTTGAGAAGCAAAATACATATACTGATAGTATAAACATATCTACTATGTATACCAATAGTATAAAACCCTAAAGACTTCAGAACCCTAAACTGAACCATACTCACAAATTTTCAGATTCCTTCAAACTGACAGTTTAGAAATGTTAAGGTGGTTTTGATTTCTGTGTATCCTGCCATATCAGAACAAAATCTACTTACTTCACTTGGTTTCACTGCTCTCTTCTGAACACGGCCTTCCCGTGGGCCCCAGAATC